CTTCTCTTCTCTTCTCTTCTCTTCTCTTCTCTTCTCTTCTCTTCTCTCTCTCCTAAAAGCAGAGGCTCCCAAAAGGATGAAATACTGCATGGAAAGTATGGGAAAATGGGCCTAACCTTTGTTCTGGCCACCATGTTCCTGCCCATGCCCTTTGAATACATGCATGTGTGTGTGTGTGTGTGTGTGTGTGTGTGTGTGTGTGTGTGTGTGTATGTGTATGTAGCTCAGATGCTCTATGGGGAAGATCAAGGTTGAACCAAGGGGACCTTGTGCTGCAGAAGCCTAGGATGATGTCAGCCTGTTGCTCAGGGACCTAGGTGAGCTCAGGCTCCTAGGGGAGCTAGGGATGGAGAGCACGGTGTTGTCACCACCTGGAGGAGTACAGTGAGCTGAGACTCGGAGGAGAAGGTAGTCCCTGAGGACATAGGAGTGACAAACACAGCCAAAACATTCTGTGGCCAAGAGATGTCCTGTGAGAGGGCTTGTTACCTCTCAGGATCAGATGAGAAAATATTTGTAAAGTGCTTAGTGCAGCACCTGGCACATCGTAGGCACTTAATAAATACTTGTTCCCTTCCCTCCTCGATCCGTTAGCCAGTTAATATTGGACTCTAACACAGCTCCTGCTCTTTGGAAATACTCAGTCTTCCAGGGATTTTATGGGCCCTGCCCTCAGGGGGACTCTGATCTGTATGGGGAGACAGGACACATATTTACACATGAAATATTCCTATAAAAACACTCAGCAGGGTTGTAGAAACAAGTACAATCCATTTCATGTCTTGCTAGAGTGTGAACTGCTCAAGGGCAAGGGCTTTTCCTTAGTCATCTTTGTATCCCCTAATGAGCATTGGTCGGGAACAGTAGACCGGCAGTATTTGGTTAGTTGTAGGAGTGAGTATCACGGGTTCCAAAGGTGTGGCAGTTGTGGGCTTCTCCATGGGCTGGATCCTTGGAGTGATGGAAGGATAGTGGTGTTCCCAGCAGAAAAGGGGAAATTTGGAGAAGAGGTGGGTTTTGGGAAGACAATCAGTTCCATTTTGGACATGCTGAGTTCGAGATGCTGTTGGATCATCCAGATGTCTAATGATCAGTTCATGATGGACACTGGAATTCAGGAGAGAGGTGAGGGCCAGATACATATACTTGTAGGAATCTGCAGAGAGATAATAATCGAACACATGGGAGCTGATGAGCTCACTGAGAAAGTATAGAGAGAAATGATATAGTTGGGTGGTTGGGGATGGACGACGACTGAGCAAATGAGACTCAGAAGGCACAGCTAGACAGGTAGGGGTAGAAGCAAGAAAACCCAGACAAGAAAAGGAGGAGATGGCCGATAGTTTCCAAAGCTAAAGAGAGGAGGTAAAGTAGAATGAGACTCAAGAAAAAGCCAATGAAGCTCTACATGAGGAGATTGTTGGTAATTTTGGAAAGAACCATTTAGGAAGAGTGGGGTCAGAAGCCAGATTGAAAAGGATTAAGAAAAAAGAAGAGATGAAATGGAGGCAGTTAGTGTAGATGGTTCTGTCTAGGTATTTGGAAGTGAAAGGAAAATTACCTTATATTTACTTATTTGTGTAAATCTTGTACTTCCCAAGTAGGTTGTAAGCTCCTTGAGGGCAGGGCTTGTCTTTAAATTCTGTCTGGTTCCTGGATTGACTGATGGAAAGGGTGAAGAGATACAGGAAAATACCTTGTGGGACTGGTAGGGTCAAGTGAAGGATTTGTTTAGCGGTGGGAGAAGTCTGGGCATGTTTGTAGTTAGCAGTGGGGGATACAGTGGATACACTTGAAACTTCAACTCCCTCCCACTGAAACCAGTCGGACTCTGCTCGTGGGGAACTGGGTTCTGATACGTAAGCTTTTGCTTTTATTTTCCCTTGTTCTGAAGGAGGGCTCCATTTCACTTCCTGAACACTTTTTTTTTTTGGAGGCAATCTGTGTTGAATGACTTGCCCAAGGTTACACAGTAAGTGTCTGAGGCTGGATTTGAACTCAGGTCCTCCTGACTCCAGGGTGGGTGGTATGCTGCACTCCCAGGCATGTTCAAAGCACCTTCAGGTCCCTTTTATGTGTTGTCTACTTCCATTAGAATGTGAACTCCTGGAGGTCAGGGACTGTCTTGATTGCAGGTAACTGTATACCCAGCACTTAGCAGAGTGCCTGGTATATAGCAAGGGCTTAATAAATATTTCATCATTCATTCATTCATTCATAAAGAGAAGGAATGACAGAGGGCACAGTCTCTCAGAAGAGATAGAAAGGGATGGGATTGAGAGAGATTGGTGAAGACCCCTCATAAAATTTAAACTTAAATGAGTAAAATAAGGTAAGGACCCCTAATAATAATATATGTGTACCAGGATCTGAAATGAACAAAAACAGGGTGTACTAAGAGGATACTTGAAGGAGGGGATGGCAGGTGAAAACTATGTAACGATTCTGTCATTTCCACTGCTGTTGCTGGGGCAGTTTTTTCGTGTTTAGATTGTGCCCTCTGAAGCCCAGCCAACGGCATAAGAGGTAGGGGGCTAGGGAGGGGTTGTGGTTAGAACCTATAAAAATGTTTGTTTGGCTGACACCACCTGCAGTCTTGCATTGAACTGCATTTAGGTATGAGTCGCCCTTTCTCGAGATCGAAATAAAATCCTTTCTACTTTCTACCTGGAGAAGCCTCTGAATTAATTTGGGTAAGGGTCACCGCTGTCACACACAGGATCAGGAAGACAAGTAGATGGGTTGATCTTGTAGAGAGAAAGGCCATGCCTTTCCCAGAGACTGGAGCAAAAGATGATAGAGTTGGGGGGAATAGGAGAGGGCTACAGTTGGAGAAAAGAAGGGTCCTGCCCATTCAGGATGGCCGCCATTTTCTCAGTAAAGCAGGAGGAGAGGTCCTCTGCTGAGAGAAAGGAGGAGGGGATGGTCTCAGAGGTTTGAGGAGAGGTCTGGAGTAGCCTTGGTGGTAAGGGTGAGAATCATTCAGGGATGAAGAAAAGAATGTCTATACAGCAGGGAGGGTCAAGTTGACTGGGTAACATGTTTATACTGTATCTCCAAGAATCAGTTTGTGGACATTGACTAGTTAAGTTTAATGGTGCATAGAATAAGATCTTAGCCGCAGTGTGAAAGACTAGAGCTGTTCCAAGGTGGAATTGGCAAGTATCATCAGACTCATTGTATCCAACGGAGACTCAGAGATGCTGTGACTTGCCCATGGTCACACATTGTGTCTGAGATAGGGCTTGAACAAATAGAATCCTCATTTTATAGGTGACAAAATTGTTGGATGGAAAAGGAGGGGGAGGGGTGTAAGGTGGTGGAAGTATAGGAGGGGGCTAGGTAATGAAGGGATATGTGACTTTGGGAGGGTCACCCACTTCCCTTCAGCCTCAGTTTCCTCATCTGTAAAGGTCCTTTTTCACTTTCTAGAGTGGCATGATATCATGACCCTATTGGCTAAGCTTAGCCATGCCCCCTTCATCAGTCAGTCAGTCAGTCAACAAGCATTTATTTTATTTTATTTTTTTTTAGGTAATTGGGGTTAAGTGACTTGCCCAGGGTCACACAGCTAGTAAGTGTCAAGTGTTTGGTCTGGGGCTGGTTTTGAACTCAGGTTCTTCAGACTTCAGGGCCGGTCCTCTATCCACTGCGCCACCTAGCTGCCCCCTCAACAAGTGTTTATTGAGGTCCTACTGCGTGCCCGGGCCTGGGCTAAGCGTTGGGGAGACCGGAAGAGAGGCACAAGTCTGCCCCTGCCCTCGGGGAGCTCCCAGCCTTCACTGGAGGGCAATGAGAAGAGCGCTGAGCGCCCCAGGATCTGAACGCTTCCTCCACAAGTGGCCTGGGAGAAGCCCCTTCCCACCCCTGGGCCTCAGTTTCCCGCTCTGTCAATGAGAGGGCGGCTCTAGACGACCCTTGAGGTCCGCCCCATCCCCGGGAGCGCGGAAGGGTGGAGCGCGGGCCAGGACTACATCTCCCGGCAGGCCGCGCGCACGGCGCCGCACCGCGCGGGGCGGGGCCAGACGGGCTGACGCTAGGGGGCGTGCCCGGGGGCGGGGTAGTTGCTGGGCGGCTGAGGCGGCTGCGGAGGGGCCGGCGAGGTTGCGAGGCTGAGGGCGGGCCCGAACGCAGCCGCGGGCGCGGGGAGGCCGGGGCGGGGCGGGCGCCCGGCCCATGGAGCGGGGGAAGATGGCGGAGGCGGAGAGCTTAGAGACGGCGGCGGAGCACGAGCGGATCCTGCGGGAGATCGAGAGTACGGACACGGCCTGCATCGGGCCCACGCTCAGGTAGCGAGCCGGGGCCGGACCGGACCGGACCGGGGCCGGGGGCGGGCCGGGGGAGGGGACGGGCCGGGGCGCCCCGCCCCCCAAGACCGGGACCCCGCGGGGAGGGGGACCCCGCCCTGCTAGGCACCCCTTCATTCGGGAGAGCTCCACGGGGGATCCCCGAGCGAGACCCCCCGCAAGGGCGGGACCCTCGTCCGGTCAGACCTCCCCAAAGAGCGGGACCCTCGCCCGGTCAGACCCCCCGCAGGGAGCCCTCCCCTCCCGGGAGGGAGCCCCTTCCCAGAGTGACCCTCTGCCGTCTCCGGGGGACCTCCCATCCCTTTCCGTCTCCGCGAGAGCAGGCTCCCCGCAGAGAGCAGGAGCGACCCTCTGCCCCCTGCCTGCTGCCTCTGTGCCCTTAGCGCGACCCTCCCTACACTTCAGGAGCTACGTCAGTTCCCAGCCCGGCCTTCTCCGTCCCCAAGGATCGAGCCCCCCGTTCAGGAGCCAGACACCCCCTCCCCAGGAGGAGTTCCGTCTGCTCCCATACCCACCCTACTCATCCCCTTTCCCCTGGCTGCCCCAGTTAGGGGGCTCCCTTTCCCATCCACATTCCTCCTTCAGAGAAGGGGATGCCCCCTCCCCCCAGGACTGACCCTCTCTTCCCCCAAGGCCTTGCTTATCTCCCTGAAGGCACCTCTCTTCCACCCTGCCTGGACCATACACATCCTTCTTAGTCAGACCTTGCCCTCCCCCCTAGGAACCACTCTCCCTCTTGTGAGACCCTCCTTCTTGTCCAAGACAGGCCCTGCACCCTTCCCCCATCCAGATTTCCCCCCAAGCGTTCTTCTGCTTTGGTCAGGACCCTTCCTCCAGCCCCTCCCCAGTGAGATCCTCCTTTTGAGCACCTACCTCCCCCTTCCACAGGAGCAACCCCCCCCTTCAGGGCCCCCCTGTGAGTGAAGTTTTCACAGGCATCCGCAGAGACATCCTCTTCCCCAGAATCTAGTTCTAAAACTCCTGAGATGTTTCTTGGCTTCCTTCCTCTCAGCTGTAGCCACAGCTATAGGAGATGGTCCCCCCGCCCCATCACTTTCCTTTTTTTGCCCTTCTGGAGAGTCATTCTCCTCCAGGAGTGACCCCTTCCCCGCCCTTCCTGCATCATCCCCAAGCCCTTCCAGCCCTTTCCCCAGGAGTGACCCCATCAGCTCAGCTTGAGTCCAGTTGGACCCATGGGACCAGGAGGTATCACTTCCCCACGTATTCCCCCGCCCCCAGTCAGATCTACCTTCCCCCAGTCTTTTCCCTGGAAGCACCTGGCCCGGCCCAGCCCAGCACAGCACTTCTTTAGGAGGCATTCCCATCCTTCCCCCAACCCCTTCACCTTGGGAGGAGAGCTCTTCAGCCTCGACCTTATAGAGAATACTGCAGCCCTGTCCCTCAAGCTTGTTCCTTCGGGAGGCAAGCTCTCCCTCCATAGTCCAGCCCCTCTGGAGTCAGGTTCCCCCACTAGCAATGCCCCCACTAGAAGCTCAGGCTCCCCAGCCCCTTCCCTAGGGAAAGCTTCAGCTTCTTGGGAGTCTGGCTCCCCGAGCAGGGAACTCTCCATCTCCAATCAGGGTCTCCCAGGAGGGGAGAGACACCTTCCCCACCAAGAGACTGCTGTCCCCTTCCTCTTTGGCCCCTCTGGTGAGTCCCCTCTTCCATTCAGCTTCCCTCAGGAGGGACAGCCCCTCTCCACACACATTTCTCACAGACAAATAGGCCCCTCAATCCCTTCTGCAGGATAAACCTCCCCCCAACACCAGCCTAGCCCCTCTTGAGCGAGACTTTTCCAGGATCGAGTTCCATTCCCTTAGAAGGGATGCCGTCTTCTACCACCTAGCCCCTGTGGAGAGTAAGGAAGGCCCCATTCTCTTCCAAAGCAAGCTGCTCTGGGGAGTTAGTGCTCTGTCTCCCCAGCTAGGCCCCCATTCCCATATTCAGGAGTGATTCTTGTCCTTCCCTCTTCATGAGAAACAGACTTCCTCCAGATTGAAACGTCCTTCCCCAAGCCCCTTTAGACACTGACTTGTCCAAGAGACAAACAGGAGCTCCTCAGGGAAGTCAGGGCAGCCCCCGGACCCTGGGAGTGGGATCAGTACCCACATATCAGCCTTCCACAGGAATCCAGCCCCTCAAAACACGTCCTACTTCTCCCTCACTGGGAGACTTTCTCTTTCCTACTTACAACTTAGTTCATTCCTCTAGAGTGAGGACTAGTCAGTGTAGCCAAAGGCTAAGGCCTCTTTCAAAGCCCAATGCCTAGCATTTATATAGTGATCTAAGCTTTACATAATAATCTCATTTGATCCAATAACTCTGTGAGGTAGGGGCTTTTATTATCCCCATTGCACAGATAAAGATACTGTGGCTGAGCTGTTAAGTGACTTGCTCAGGATCATAGAGTTAGTGGGATCTGATGAAGGATTTGAAGCAAGGCCTTCCTGACTCCAAGCCTAGCACTCTGTCTCCTGCGTCACCCAGTGGCCTCACCTGCTCACCCCTTAGTTCGCTTTATCTCCTTTCACCCCTCAGTTGAGGGTGGTGAGCCTCTTTTTTGGTGATACTTCTATCTTCATAAAGAGCTAACCCAGATCCCCAGCTTTTCCAATTCTGATCTCTGTCCCCAACCTTCCCGTTCAGTTTAGAGCTACTTAATGTTTCTTCTTAATTCAGTAATTCCATAAAGAGTTTGCTCATGGAGCCCTTCGGCCTGGAAATAAATTGACCTGACCATGCTGCCTGGTGCTCTGGGAGGGGACGGAACTAAGAGACGTGCCTGGATAGGGGGGAATGTGGAAGCGGAAAGAGGAGGTTCAGTCTCCTTCCCTGCCATACTCGGTCTCCTATAACAATCCTTTCTGGTTCGTGCCTCTACTTTGGAGGAAGACAATCCGACAGGCATTGGAAAGCGGAGGCCAGGCCCTGGGAGCTGCTGCCCTGGAGCGACCCTGCTGATGCCACCGCTCCCATTGGCCCCCCAGCCGGGGCTTTCCCTGAGCCTGTCTGGCTGGGGGCCTTCCCTCAGTGCCGCCCACCAGGTTTCCTTCCCCATATTTGTAGTGCTGCTCACCCAGGAGCTTCCTCTTCAGCTCAGCTCTCAGCCTCCTGCCTCTGCACACGCACGACCACTTTCTGCCCTCAGCACCTGGACATTATTCCCCTTTTCCCTTATGGGTCCTTATAATCACTGTCATTCATTTCCCATCTTTGTCTCACTTGGGCTTTATTAACAGTCCTCCTCCTCCCTGCCCCTCCCTCCCTCCCTCTCCTTCCTCCTCCTTGCTTTTCCTCTCCCTCCTCATCCCTCTCCTCGTCCCCCATTGTCCCTGATGGCAGACCCAGGAGCCATTTGTCCTCGCCCTGCTGTGGGCAATAGGTGCTGCCTCTTTTGTGCAGTAGCCAGTGTGTGCAAGCTTCTGTCCCCAGGTGGCTTTCTCATCTGTGCTCCCGGTCACAGACAGCAGCATGGACAGCCCCGATAAAGCCTCCCCTGCCTTTTACCAGGCCCTGGGGGGCAGCCTCTTCCCCGCCTCCCCATTAAACAGAAGTAATTCAGCACTAGCCGGTTCTTCCTACCCTCCTGTCCAAGGGAAATATTGGTGCAGGCGGCCCCTTCCTTTCTGTCCTTGGTCTGTGTCTCCTCTAGACAGGTACAGAAGGTCCTCATGACCTCTCCTTCAGTCTCTGATGTCGCCGTCTGAGGTCCTACAGACTTAGCTGTTCTGCCGGGGGAGCCCCCCGTGAATCAGGGGCACAGGTTTGTTCACTAGTGGCCTGGACTTTTGGCTCCTTCAGCTCAGCCCTGGGACTTGGGGGGAGCTCTGCACGGGTGACCGGAAGGACTCCACTGATCTTGGGCAGGGCACATCACACCTCTGGCCTCAGTTTCTTTTATGTTCAGTGGAGGGAGCACCATGTCTGGAGTCAGGAAAGGCCTCAGGGTGGATCTGGCCTCAGCCACTTCCTCGTTGTGTGGCATGGGACAAATCCCTCAACCTCTGTTTACCTCAGTTTCCTCATCTGTAAAATGGGGATGATAACAGCACCCGCGTCACAGTGTTGTTGTGAGGATCAAATGAGAGGATATTTGTAAGGAGCTTTCCGCAGTGCCTGGTGCACAGTAGGCACCTAAGTGCTTGTTTCTTTCCTTCCTTCTCCTAGCTCCTCACCTTTGAGATGCCTTCTCAGGAGGGATACCCTCCAGCCTTGGCCTTACGTAGGAGATTACAGCTCTAGTCCTCTAATCAGGTCTTTTTGGAGGCAAGCTCTCCCTTTCTCCAGAGCCTAGCCTCTTTGGGGAGTCAGGTGCCCCAGGGCCTTCCCCAGAAGCTTCCAGGGAGCTTGGCTCAGCACAGCGCCTGGCACACAGTAGGCACTTCATGAATGCTTGTTTCTTTACTTCTATGTCTTCTTTCTCTGATCCAGCTTGGTTGTAGCCTATATACTCACTTGGCGATATTCATGCGCTCCCTGTTTCCTGGTTTGAGGGTTGGCTTCCTTCCAACCTGGAGGAGGAGGCGCTACTGAGAAAGTCCTTGTGCCGAGGACAGCACCATCCCTCCATTCGCTTTCCTTCACAATCTTGGTGTCTCACTTTGACCACATACAATCAGTTACCAAACCTTGTGGTTTTGAAGGCTGCACAACATTCTTTAGATCTGTGGGCTTCTTTCCGCCCACACAGCCACTACCTTAATTCAGGCCCTGATCATCTCTCCCCTGGATGACTCCGAGGCCTTTCCAGTCGGCCCTCATCTCAAGCCTCTCTTTCCTCCGGGCCATCCCCACGGAGCCACTGAAAGGATTTTCCCACCTGTGTCTCTCTTGAGCAGGCCAGGGACTCCCCACTGTGTTCGTCTGAAGCCAGATACACACATACACATTTGGTGTTTAAAGCATTTTTCAACCTGGCGCTTTGCAGCCCAGCTGGCCAAGCCTTCTTGACCTTGTTCTGCTTATTTCCCATTTGGGCACTT